TCTTCAATTATTCCTCGTGGATGTGTCAATGATCCGTCAGCTAGCTGTAAGGTCACCGTGGTGGCTTTAGCTTCTCCCAATCCTAATTTTCTGAAAACAGACAATGGCATTAAGTTAATACTTGCACTAAGATCACATAAAACTTTATCAAAATAAAATTCACCAATGGTACAAGGGACAGTGAAACTCCCTGGATCTTTCAATTTTGGCGGGAGCTTTCTCTGAATCTTGGCACTGCACTCCTCTGTTAGCATAACTGTCTCGTGATCTCCTAGCTTTCTTTTGTTTGATAGGATGTCTTTCAGGAATTTTGCATAGCTAGGCATCTGAACCAGTGCTTCAGCGAATGGGATGTCGATATGGAGCTTCTTAAAGACTTAGAGAAACTTCTTGTATTGTTGTTCCATCTTTTGCTTCTTCAGCTTCTGTGGGAACGGTATGGGTGGCTCATAGGGGTTCACAGCTACAGTTTCTTTATCCCTTGAGTTTCTTTTATTTGCTCTCGGTGTTAGCTCTTCTATCTGTTTTTCTTGCTCCAAAATCTCTTCTACTTCAGGAGACATCTCTTCTCTGTTTGCCATGGGATTATTCACTTGTCTCTCAGGTAATTCCACTCCACTTCTCGTTGTTATAGCCTTTGCATGCTCTTTCAGATTGATTTCTGTGTTACTTGGCAGGCTGCTTGGTGCTCTACCTGTTAATGCAACTTCCATCTGTCCCATCTGAGTTTTCAAATTCTTGATGTTTGCATTCTGGTCTGAAGAGTGGCTTCTGTCTTCTTCATGAATTGGTTTTTCGCCTCCATATATTGGTTGGTCTGTTCCATGAATTTGCCGAACATTTCTTCCAATTGAGGCTTCTTCTCTTGCTGTTGATATTGCCCCTGTAGCCTATTCTGATTTTGGTTGCTCCAAGAAAAGTTAGGGTGCTTTTTTCAGCTTGGGTTGAAGGTCTCTCCATACGCGTTATTCTGCTGGCGTTGTCCCCATTGAGCAAAATCTGCTTACTCTTTTCCTTATGTCAAAATTGGACATTCTGCTGTCACATGCTCAGCTCCACATTCCTCACAATTTGCCTTCTTTGTCTGCGTTGCGTTAGCTGACTGGGTAATGTTTTCCACCTTGTGAAATAAAGAATCAATCTAGCGGATAACGCTGAATATACATCCACTTCATAAACTCCTGGTGTCTTCTTTGGTACTGCTTGTTCCATGGTCAACATTGCTGAGGTTGTAGCCATTGTCTCATATAACTTCAATGCTTCATCAATTGTTTTTGTGGACAATGACCCATTAGCTAAAGAGTCGACCATACTCTTGAAAGCTGGAAGTAGCCCTGCATAGAAATATTGGACCTGAAGTTCCTTGCTTATCCCGTGGTGCGGACACTTCCTTAGTAGATTTTTGAATCTGTTCCAAGCCTCATCAAAATTCTCAGATTCGCCTTGCCTGAAGATAGATATGTCGTGCTTTAGATTTTCTATCTTGGCCGGTGGGAAGAACTTAGTACAGAACTTCTGAGCTAGGTCATTCCAGGTA